TACGTAGTTTATATATACAACTTATATATACAACTTATATGTAAACGTAACAAGAGTTGCAAAATTTACTTCTATAAATTTCGCTCTCTTATAATAGTTTAACGGATAGATTGCTTACAAACTGACAGATACACTTCTTATATTCACTTATTTTCTAATTAACAGATTTACTTTAACAATTCAAGCTTAATGTATTTGAAAGTTACAATCAATTTAATTTATAAACGGCTTTGATTTGAAAATTTGCTCGAAGGGAAAATCACGGAAGGAATTATCGAAAATCTCTGTGAAAGCAGTCGAAACGAATTCGTTGATCAGGCCCCTCGTTAGGACAAAACCCGGTTGCCACGTATGATTAATTATTTTATCAAGGATACTCTCAAGGAATCGTTTGCCAAATAGAAGATTTGAAATGTGAAGCTTCAAATCTTTGATAGATTGGACGTCTATTTGAGCTCTCAATTTTTGTCCCGGCAATTTGGTCACAGTGGTCATTTGTATTAGATCATCTGCAACGGAGAAATTTTAAAATTATAAATAAACGATTTAAATATTTCTGTTGTTTTCAGTCATATTTTACCATAACATTAATAATAAAAAAATTAATAATAAAAAAATTGTATTTCTTTGTATTGATAATTAAAATAGATTTCATAATCAAATACAAATTTACACTTACACAAAGTGAGTGAGAATTTTCCTCTATTATTTATAGTGGAACTGAAAAATGCGCCTTTAAATTCATAATCACCCGTCAACCTTTTCTCTGGGAAACTTTGCGTGTACACAATCTAATTGACGAAATGCTTTGTTTAGTTATAATTATATTTTGTCTCATTATTCTGATTTTACTTTTCACGTTAAATAACATAAATTCAATGTATTCTCTTACAAAATAATCATGTGAAAATAATCAATTTTTAATATATTTTTTGATCTTAAATATGAAAAACTATAAGATAACTAAATACTAATAATATATATGAAACAAAGCAGAATGTTGTGTTATTTTTTTAATTTTTCAGGAGAAAGAAAAAACTTGTTTTCTTGAAAACCATCATTTCAAAATGTCTATACAAAAATTATATTATTGTAATAAAAATTATATTATTGTAATTGAAGAAATGATATAAACAAAATCAGTCACTGCAAAAATTTTAATTAAATATAATTCTTAAAAAAATTAAATTTCAAAACATTCTAATTGTAAGTCCAAATAAAATGCAAGTTAAAACAGTGTAAAATAAAAACATAAGTCAAAATGTTGTAAATTCAATTAAAATTACAAGTTAAAATGTTGTCATCTATCGATAGCCCGCTTTAAATTAGCTGTGTATTTACACCACATTATCAAAAATAGCATACCGGAAGCACGTAGTTACGTTAAAAATTCGTTTCATCTAATAAAAAAACTTGGAAGTTACTTTAAGTCAAATTTAAAATTGGCTTCTTTGAATGTTATATCGTTATTCACTAATGTTCCAACTGAATTGACTATAGACAGTATTAATAAGAGATGGCACTATATAACAAAAAATATCATATATCTAAGGAAGAGTTCTTGATAGGAATCAATTTAATTTTAAACTCAACATTTTTTGTATTTAACAATAAATATTACAAACAAATTTTTGGAACACCTTGGGCTCGTCATTATCTCCCGTGTTAGCGAATGTGATTTTAGAAGATCTTGAAGAGATAGCAATTCAGAAGTTATCATGTGATTTAAAGTTCTACTTATCAATTTAATGAATTAAGTTTCAAGATACAAGATGAGATGTTCAACGTCGGTGAACAAGAGAAGACTTACGAAGGAAATAGAAACCGCAATGCGGTTTCAATATGCAACCAAATATTACCAAGTAAAGATCGAACTAAGTGACTTTATGGAAGTAAGACCGACGCAGATATCGACCTCCCAGCCGACGATAGTAACTTTTCAGGAAAGTATTCGCGCACTAAAGCTTCCTAAGATTGAATTAAGGAAATTTGACGGCGAAATTAAAGACTGGCTCTCATTCTGGAACACATTCCGAAAGATTCACGAATTTAAGACGCGACATTATCGAGAGAAGATCAATTTCACTATTTTTTGCAATCTACAGTCAAAGATTCGCGCGAGGTAGTCAATAGCCCCCCCCCCCCCGCGAATAATTACGAGAAAACCATAGAGAGTCTTAAACCTCGCTTTGGTAAAAAAGACTTGCTCATAGAATTTTATGTGCGAGAGCTTTCAAAATTGATTTTGAATAAGAACAAGAATATCTCGCTGATTTCTCCCTACGATAAGTTAGAGACACATTTGCGGGCGCTCGAGTCACTAGGTGTAACAACAGATATGTGCGATACTATGTTGTTCCCATTAATCGAATCCTTGTTGCCGGAAGAAATTCTGCGGACATGGCAATGGGCAATAGCTATAATAGATGTTTAAGCCATGAATATTACTATCAAAGATCGTCTTATGCACTTAATGGCATTTTTAGGGAAAAAGATGGAGAGCGAGGAATATTCCATATGGCTCCATATGGCCAAGACATGCTTCGAAATAACTAATGATCCGAAGAATAAAAAGAAAACAAAAAAATGATCATGATCAGGATATCGTCACAGCAATCAGATTGTTAACAATAAAGGAAACAAGCTCGCCGAAATGTTGTTCTGCGAAGAGCGTCATGACATTGCGGAAAAGCTAGGAATATATCTATGGAACAGCGAGCATTCTAATCAAGAATAAACATTTTGTATGGAATCGAATACAGGAGATAAGAAAACTTACAGATTCAAATTCCTGGAGATACGTACCAGGAAAATTAAACCTTGCAGACCTGTCTTTCCGAGGCTGTAACGCACAAAAATTTCTTTCAAATGGTGGGAAGGCCCATCCTAGTTAAAGTTACTTTCTAAGGAATGCCAATGGAAGACGAAGAAGTCGATGAAATATTGGTCAATGGAGAGCTTCGAAAGATTTCAATGCAACCGCAGAAGATACTTATTAAAGAAAACAAAAATATAGTCTTGAGTAATTTTACCGAAGCTTCTAGAGAAGAAAAAGTTCCGTGATACTTACAGAAATATTCCTTATCAAAATTTTACGTCTAATTGCATGAATATTAAGATTTCTCAACAATAATAGGAAGACTTATGTAATCAACAGTGAAGAAATAACTGCCAAAGAGATTATCGCAACAGAGTTGTTTTATATGGACTAGTACAAAGAGAGTCGTTCAGAGGAGCAAAAGATTCATTATTACAAAAACTAGACGTATTCGAAGACAAAGACTCTTGTGTACAAGACCGATTATTTCTAATCGTTAAGACAATTTCAATTTTAAATATCCAATAATTCTCGACCTTAAACATTTGTTGACGGAGAAAATCATTCACTCTATATATATATATATATATATGTAAAGCTAAATCATGCGGGTATAAGCATCACAATGGATAATCTGCGTGAAAAATTCTGGATTATTCAGACTCGCAGAGCAGTACGTTCCGTTATTTACAAATGTAAGACGTGCAGTCAACATTCTGCGAAAACAGTGAAGGCTTCACCTGCAATTTTACCAGAAAATAGAGTAAGAGATGCCAATACATTTGAAATAACAGGCATCGATTTTGCAGGATCGCTCTTTTTATTTGAAGGACAAGGCATATATTTGCTTTTTCACATGCGCTGTCTACTGAGCAATATATGTAGAACTCGTTACCACGTTATCAGCGGAAGGATTTTTAGATCGCTCTCAGACGATTTATAGCACGTCGGAGAAGACATCTATGATTTATAATGATAATGGAAGAAACGTGGGAACATCAAATCTCTTAAAAAAAATTAACTGGCAGAAAAGTGCTACGGAATTACTAACGAAATAGAGTGGTATTTTCCACCTTCAGCAGTCTGGTGGGGAGGATGATAGGATCTTATATGCATTTTGAAGGATCTATTGAAGAGGACTTTAGGAACAATCTCACTCAATTACGAGGAGATGTATATAGTTTTATGTGATTGCGAGGCAGTAATAAATTCCAAGCCACTTATATATATGATCGAGGAAGTTGGGAAAGCAGTTCACACTTGCAATGTTTCTTCAAGATATTCAAGAAGAAGTACCAGACTTAAATCAGATTGGCAGGATCCAGCCTATCAAAAAATACGTTATCGTCAGAAATTTTAAAAGAAGAATTAAGGAAACGGTTCCATATTCAGTATCTAAGACAATTGTCTTGACGGAACAAATGCAAATATACTACAATACATTCTCAGTAGGCGATATCATACTTGTCGCTAATGATTTACAAAAACGCCTCAACTGGCATATGACAAGAATTAAAGAAATTAACTTTTCCTAAGAAAAGACGACTTAGTACGAGTTGTGAAGCTACAGACAGCCGAGAATTGATTCGTCCGATACAAAGACTCATTCCTTTGAAAGAAGTGAAATTCTACGAGGGTGATTCAAAACGACATTTAGATCTGATCACATCGGTCATTAAGCCTAAGGAGTTATTTAAGTCTCCTGAACTAACAATAAGAGCAAGAAGCGGACACATTATAAAGAAGCCAGAGCGACTGAAATTTTAATTTTTTTTTTTCTCTATGTTTTAACTCTTGTTTTAATTATTTTTTCTCTCAAGCAGGTTAAGTTAATCTGAGAGAACGCAACTTAAGGTGGGAGGATGTTCGAAAAGCAGTTCTTTTTTTCCGCCCTTTTCTTTCCTCTTTTCATCAAAGGAAATCAACTAGATACCGAAAAGGTTCTATTTTCTTCTCCGCGCATGAAGTACGTGCTCTCAAGGAGGGCGATCATACAAGACGCTCGCTCTCACTCTCGCTCGTTTCATACTTCTTTTTGTAACGATTCGAGCAAGTTCACTAAATGTAAAATATCAATATTAAAGTTAGTATTTTCAGTTTTTATCCTCGTATGATAATTGCCTCATATCTTGGTGGCAACACATGTATTAGATTTTAATAAATTTTAATTGTTAACAGCTACCATCCGATTTGCTCGTACCCTTGTAATTAAAATTTTTTATATAATTCTATTTTAAAAAGTGGAGGTTACCTTTATATTTTTTTATCCCTCCACCTAGAAGAAAAAAATGACTAAAATACGTCTTCTGCGAAACAATTTCACTTTTATCTAAAACATTTTTTGTATCGTTAATCATTTCGGAAAAAATTAAATGTATTGGTTAAAAATGGACTACTCTGTGCAGTGCAAATAAAATGACTTTAATAATAATGTATTTCAATAGAAAGAAAAATTATTTTTACAAAAAAATAAAGAGAAATTTACAGATAAAATCAACTTGCTTTCTTCTATTCAAGATGTGAAAAAAAATATTTCCTGAATACAAGGATAATCTTAATCACAATTTTTTAATTTAGTAAGTAAAATTGAATAAGAAAAAAGATGAATCCAACGATTCCTGCGTGTTCCCCAAATCGTCTAAAATGCATGAACTCCTTTTGAGTTGTACTATCAATTTCTCCGCTTGTAATAGCAATTTTCATGACAAATACTAGTGTGTAATAAAACATAGTATTTACAATCCATTCATACAATAAAGTGCATTTTCATAATTTTGGCATTTACTACGTTTTGCCATAGCATGTCTTGTATATATAAAATAAACAACAAATCCGATGGCATAAAATTGTATGCTATTCTAATTGAAGATCTAACATATAATTTTTAATTATATCGCTGGACAATGACAGTGTATGTACCTTGTAATTATTTAAGTCGGAAACAAATTTTGTCACTTTACTCAGGGACCACCCGGTCTCGGTGACATTTCGAAGAGTTAAAGTAAAACCAAAGTTTGGTACTCCTCTTGTAGCTGTTACCTCTCTGGCAAAAAAGGGATCAAATGGGAGGACATTGTATTTCGATAAACCAGTTTTGAAATAAGGTCGAATTGCATTCAATCCCTCTCTTATGCAGACGTCAAAACCTGATACGTTGGGATGACAGTTCTTAAAGTTGTCCTCTAAAAACATATAATTAACAATTTACCTTAAATATACATTTAAAAAAAATTTCGTAAGAATTGATATAATATCAGTTTGTACGTAACTTCAACAATGAAAACGTCTGCATTGAGAACTCAAGTTGAAACATTTGCAATTAATTTTATTGTAGTTTACTTTGTTGGGTAATTACATTTTAATTGTTTATGAATTATACCTTATTGTCTTATGAATACATAATTTACGCATTAATAACCACGGAGACTCATAGATATTTTTACTTGCATTAGATTAATACAATATATTAAAATCTTTTTTTAATATATTTTTACAAATTTTTACAATATATTTATTAACAAAATAAGATGCCAGATACAATTTAAAATTCAAATTGATGCTTATTATTATAGCATCATTATTAAATTGACGATCAATTTAATTTTATGATATCACTTTTTGTCTTTAATGATTGCATTCCAAATCCGATAGTATATCAGCGCGCAGTTTATATAACTGAAAGATGTACTTAAAATTTATTATATTTAACGATTGGAAATACTAATGGGCACTTAAACTTAGTTTCGACCATATTTGACACTTCTTAATTTATTCGCGTTATTTATATAACGCGGTTTAACGTATTACAATTCAAATTACTTGTAATATTTATTTGTAATATTACAAAAGCTAAATTAAATTAGTGGATATGTGATATTTAAACATTATCTTTACTTATTCATGTTATTCACATAATGTGATTTGACTTATTATAATTCGAATTACTTATAAATTGAATTAATTTGTAATATTACAAAGAGCTGAATTAAATTAATGAATATGTGATATTTACACATTATATTAAGAATATGTCTGAATATTGAATGTTAATATATTCATATTAACATTGAATGCACACACATAATCGCACATAATGGAACTTTCACTTTCCAGGTATTCCGGTTTGATAACACTATGCATTTCTTGAGAACATCTCACTTGAACATTTCGCATTCTATTACAAAATAGGATATTACATTATGTAATAAATTAATTAACAGACGACATATCGGTCTCTTAGTCGGAAGGCGCAGTTTAGCATACATTTCCACAATTTCGCATATTTTACATGTTATTTTAAATGTTAATTAAGTTATATTGTTTTATATTTTGTCTTTGTGTTCTAACTATTGGAGCACAATAATATATTTTTTTTTATTTATAGCAATTTATAAGACAAAGAAGAAATTTTATCTCCTTTCTTCTTTACAAACTTATAAGTATTGAAAAACTTTTATAAATAACTTGACTATTTTTATATGTACATTCATTTTTTGAAGACTTATATTACACTGTAAAGAAAATTTGAATTTTATTTACATATATGCAAATATTATATTTTAGCATAACATTGCTGTAATATAAAACTCTGGTAGGACTTTCTTCTAATTAAATCTTTCGCTTAAATTAGCATAAAATTCTCTATGATGCTCTTTATAACGAATAAATGATTTATATAGTTATATCTTTAAAATTCGTGTGTAATTGAAATGTAATTGAAATGAGCATAGCATATAACTAAAAAATTAATTTATCATAAGAATAGAACAGCAATAAAATTTAATGATTTTGATTTTAACTTTATATATTTTTTATAAACGCTAATTTATATAATTCTAATGACGTAATTAATCTTGCTTCATTAAAAATAACATTTTATCAATTTTTTCGCCTGCCTTGATTTTGCTTTCAAAAATGTTCAGTTATATAATTCTTAAAATATGTTCAGGATTTCACGCGCTATAAGTTTTATTCTATCTTTCATCCGTATATAATGAACGAGAAAAATAGAATGAAATTTGGACCGCGTGAAAGTCTAAAGTGAACGCACTCTTAGGACCGATTGTTTCATCTTTAAATAAACTATATGGTAACTTACTTATTGGATAAACAAAAGAGTATAAGAGTAAGAACATGACGTAAGAGAGTGAATAAGAGAGTAAAGAGAGTAAGATGGTGAGCTGAAGTTTACCGAAAGGTGGAATAATCCAGTCGTAATGTAATGTGTGATATACAGAGTGTTCCGAGATTTTTGACTAAGCGCTCTTGTATAGATAGAGCAGATTAAATTGAATTAAAAAATCCTACTGAATATGGTCTTTAGTAATTTTGTTTTCAAATACTATCAACTTTACAAAAAAATTACAAGAGATAAAAATTGATTGTTTTTTTCTTATAGAACTAGAATTTTATTCAAAATTTTTTATAAATTTTTGGTACTGCTTTTCTTATAAATTATTTTTACCAGCATAAGAAAATAAAAACTTCTGAAGAACTTTATGAGAAGAAAATAAACATAAATAAATTTTTATCTCTTGTTGCTTTTTGTAAAGTTGATAGTATTTGAGAAAAAATTATTGAAAACCATTCAGCCATTTTTAATAATTATTTTGTTAATTATTGCGAAGATTGTAAAAAAAGGACTTTTCTCGACTCAGTTTAGTCCGCTCTATTTATATAAGAGCCTTGGGCAAAAAATTTCGGGACAGTCTGTATAAATGTTATGAGGGACTTGATAATCAAGAGAAATTTAAGAAGAAATTTAAGATGTTTTGTTTGATTGTACAATATTGGCTAAAAATATGAGTCAGAAAATTAGCCAAGGAATTAGCCAAAAAGCCAATATTGTTAAAAAATTTTATTGTAGATGTGTACGTTTTGAAACCAATTGTATGTAAAAAACAAGACAATAAATTATTTGGCTTTTAATGATTTCTACAGCTTTATTATTTCTACATAGTTATTATATTTGCTGCAGTTTTAAGTAAATAAAAAAGATTAAGTAAATAACTTATAAACGAGTAAATAAAATAAAATGAACTTTTGCACAAATATTTATTAGAATTTTAATTATATATATATATACACACACACACACACACACACACACACAC